GGCTAATTTCGTGATCATCTTATAGGGTAGATAAAGAAAATAGTTAATTGTGATATATCTGAAGGAACCCGACTGTTAATTGAACCCATAGTCTTAGAATCTACCTTTCCCGTATATATATATATTTTTTTTTTCCAAAAAACATCACAGATTGGGATGGGGGGTTGAGGCTACACCCCCGACCTGTGAATATAAGGCCCAGCTAGGGCTAAAAAAGTCAATGGTCTACATAAAAAAGTCAATGGTCTACCTTTCCCATATATTCTTCCTAAGTGTTTTTCTAGTTGTTTTCTTGTTTTTGATTTATTATCTTTTGATTTATTTTCTTAGTTTAGTTAATCAATCCAATTACGGTCGTCTAAATAAAGTTGACACTATCATAATCTAGTACTTGATTAATTGATTGTTTGGTCTCTTGGGATACGACCTTGCTTGCCACATACTACGAGCGAAGCGTACACTTGCGGTCGAGCTTTAAAAATATAGGTGAACAAGTTTTTGGCGCCGTTGCCGGGGACCAATTTAATTAGTTATATCAATATTAGGATAGGTAGTGAAAATTTTAATTTAGATATTTTTTTTATTTAATTGTGGCATAACCTTTCTTATCTTGATTTCAGGACTTGCATGTTAACTCGTTCTAAAAGTGCACCATTACAACCCTTGATTGACGAAGTTGAAGCATTCGCTAGACGCACTAGTGCAACAACTAGAAAAAGAAAGGGCAAGTCAAAGTGCATAATGGCTGAGCAAGAACAACACAGGCAAGCAATTCGTGACCACTTTCGGCCTGAATTTAACAAGAATTTTGGCGGGATTGCGCATATACCCGTCAATGCGAATAATTTCGAGTTGAAGCCTTCTTATATCTCGATGGTGCAAAACAACCAATTTGGCGGACACCCGACCGAGGATCCGAATCAACACTTGACCCAATTTCTTCAAATTTGCGATTTGGTCAAGTACAATGGTGTCTCCGAGGATGCTATACGGCTGCGTCTATTTCCCTTCTCTCTAAGGGATAAAGCTCGGAGTTGGTTGTCGATGATTTCTGATGGGAGCATTAAGACTTGGGAGGAGTTGAACCAGAAGTTCTTGCTTAAATATTTTCCTCCAAGCAAGTCGATGCAACTAAAAAGCGAGATTACTCAATTCAAGCAGCAAGACTCGGAGCCGTTATACGAGGCATGGGATCGATTTAGAGAGTTGTTGCGAAGGTGCCCTCGACATGGTTTTCCAGATGATCAACAACTTTGTTTCTTCTATAACGGGTTGTTGGGGCAAACGAGAGCCTTCGTAGATGCGGCTGCTGGAGGAGCTTTATTGGCTAAGACACCGGAGGAAGCCTCTAATTTATTGGAAGAGATGGCGGTGAATAGTTATCAGTGGCCTTCCGAGAGGTCGAGCATTAGACGAGTGGCGGAGGTGACGTCTTCTGATCCAATTAAGGAGTTAGCGGCTCAAATGTCGTCATTGACGACGAAATTGAATGCCTTGACAAATGGAGTTGATGAGATGAGTGGAGGACAGGGCAATGTGATGCCACCGGATCCCTTAGCAGAGGCTAAATATATCAACAATCGGAATTTCAGCAATTATCGCTCCAATCCGGTGCCGGGTTTCTATCACCCGAATAATAGGAATCATGAAAATTTTTCCTATGGAAACACGAAGAATGTGCTCCAACCACCACCGGGGTTCAAGGTGGTTAATGGTGAGATTATCCAAGAGAATAAGACGGACATGGAGAATATTTTGGCTACCTTCATGAATGAGACGAGAAATCGTTTCAACAAAGATGAGGAGAAATTGGACAAGATCGAGAATCATGTGACTCAACTGGCTACGACAATGGGAGCTCAAATGAAGAATTTGGAAACGCAAATTGGCCAACTGGCCAAAGTCGTAGGGAGTCAACACCAAAGGGGTCAATTCCCTAGCAATACGGAGTTGAATCCTAAGGAGCAATGTCAAGCCATCCGTCTAAGGAGTGGAATGGAGTACGAAGGCCCGAAGATACCGGAGGAGAAGGAGAGTGAGCCAAAGGGGAAAGAGAGCTTGGAGCTAAGCGAAAAGGAAATGGATGTTCGTGATGAATTGGAGAAAGAACCGATTGTCATGTCGAAAAAAGGGGCTG